TTTTTTTTTTCTCTTTTAGGTTTTCTTTGGTGCAAAGCATTGGCTTTTGGGATAACCTTTAATAAATAAATTTGTTTTTTGAAACGACTTTCACTATTGTCTTTATTTATTTTGAAAATAAATACTTTTTCTAAAACGCTTCAAGTTACTATATTGAAGATATGCACAGCATCAGAACTGTACCAATGCCAATAGATACAGCCACGCCCTTATTACGCATCGCTGATCAACTTAACACTGAATAGCTTACTGTAACCCAAGCTACAGTGGGATTAGTGAGAATGTATTTAGTGAATGCAAAACAAAAGTTTGTCAAGGCTATTTGTGATTTAATTTAGAAACAATGGCCTGTCATTTTTTATGAAGATATATGTGTATAATATTTAGTGATTATTTATATACTTGCTATATTTGAGTTATGGCAAAGTAGTCGACGAGACTCTCTATTAATGAGAAACATGTTGAGGAGCCCATTAAACAAAGTAAGGCTTAGTATATAAATTAGTAATTCACAACCCGACATGTGATATAGCAAAAAGAGCAGATTGACTGTAATAACTTAATAGTGGAAATTTACAGTAATCTTCATTAATAGAACAAGTCAGGGCAGCACTTGCTTCTGAAAATAGTATCTTTTATTGTTATATTTCCGCATACAGCTGAGGCCAGGGACCATTGGAAGCAAATGACAGCTTGTAAAAATGGCTTTAAGCAAAATCAAGGAAAAAAAAAGAATTAGGTATGCTTTATTATATTTATCATTTCTGTAATAAGCAGAGAATCCTTGGAAACATGCGTCCATGACAACAAATTTATCAAGCTTTGCTATGAAGCCAGGCAGTAGTATGGATTTAAGAAACTGATAAGATTTATTTTTATCTTAAAGTGCCGGTAAACTCAGCCTCTTAGCTTTTTAATTTTTTATTTTGTTGCCACAAGGCTTTAAAAGGTTTCTTCAGCCCTATTCACCCTCTCTCTCTCTCTCTCTCTCTCTCTCTTTCTTTCTTTCTCTTTTTTTCCTTGGATTTCCTTTGCTTAACTAAATATGGCCTCATCAGATCTCCCATTTCCGAATAACACAAGGAATGACTCATTATTTGGTGGAGCTCGTCTAGGCAGAAGAAAGAGAACAGTCTTTTTACTACTACTGTTTGTCGTATTCTTTGTATTGTGGTTCAATTCGGATCTAGATAGAGTCTCTAATGAAGTGAATAATGTCTCTCAAGAAGATCAATTAGCAGACAAAAAATATAGACCAGTGGAACCAGTTGTAGAAGATGAAGTGATAGATGATGAACCAACTACCGCTCAAGATGACATAGAATCTACTTATGACAAACCTATTCAAGGACAAAAACCCCCAGTTCAGCCAAAGCCAGATCTGATAATAGAGAAACCCACAATAGCCAAGAATAGTCATTATAAATATTTTATTATCATAGCCTCTCGAGTGGGTAATGCAAGTCGCCGTCAATTAATAAGGAACACCTATTTTGGATTACAAGATAACTTGGAACCCTGTATGAAGAGAGATAAGGGAATCCAGTACTTGTTCTGGCTGTATGGTGATTTGCCAAAAGCAAAGTCTGCCGAGCGTCGTATGTATGAAACTGAAAAGATGGAATGGAATGACTTTGTTAAAGTAAAAACGGATGCATATGATCAAGATGCAGTCTTGAGATGGGTAAGGACACACATATTTGAAGAAGGGGGGCTTTCTCTAACTATGATACATATATAGGCAAAGGACTATCTCAAGCGAAATGAAATCACTTTTGATTACCTCGTCGTTCAAGATGGTTATTCTTTTACTCATCTAAGCTACATTCAACAAACAATCGACAAAGAAAAGAATAATTTGCTTGCTACAACATCAGGCACTGATATGGTCTGGTTTAACCCTCAGTTGAAAAATGTAGTTGTGGCTGGTTCTAGTGCATTTGATAAACTGTGGGAATATGAGTCTGATATTGCTGATATCACAGACTCTGCATCAGACTCTTCTTTGTTGGTGAGCTTTTATCGCTTAAACAAGGCAGTTGAACTTCAAAGAAAGATTATCGAATCCGAATCTGAAGGTGATCGATTGAGCGAATTCTTTAAATTCCCTGTCTTCTTGGGCGAGCAAAACCGTATGATCACCTGGAGTAATAATGTTGAAACAGTTCCTGACTTGACTGTATCTGTTGCTAATGTGTATCAAGATGCTGATTTTGTTTCTTTGACTCAAAAATTGCGTCTTGAAGCAGCTTCTATTTGTAAGGCCATCGACAAGCCAGATATTGCCGTTGTCACCTCTTCTTTTATCTACCCTGATTCTTGTATGGAGAAGGCTGCTCCACCTGCTGCTGATAACAAGCGCGAATATGCCTTGGCTCATAATTATGCTTTTGTTGCTCGATCAACTGAATATGCTCAACAAGATATTCGTACTGAAAAGAGAAGGACTGTTTGGGGAAAGATTGATGTGGTACAGAAAGTGCTACCAAAATATGAATGGATATTTTGGCTGGATATGGACGCTGTCATTATGAACCCCAAGCACACCGTTCAAGGCATTCTTGATGATCTTCGAAGCAAATACCCTGGTGGCCCCGAAAAGTTTGAAGAGAACATTGATTTGGTCATTGCTAAACCTACCCGTGACAAGATGATCAATGCTGGTGTCTTTTTCATGCGCAACACAAAGTGGGCTCAAACTTTCTTAAAGGATGTTCAAAACTTTAAAAAGTGGTATAACCAGTCTCCTTCTTATGAGCAAGGCGCCATGTGGGAATTGATTCAACTTGACAAGCACAAATCTCATGTTCTCTTGCTCGATAATGATGATCATACCTTCAACACACTCCCCAAGAGATACATACCTGGAGATTTTGTTGTTCATTTTGCGCCTGACAAGTGTCCTGGTCCTGCTGTATTGGAAGGTTTAGAAGCAGTAAAAAGAATTCAAAATGGAGAAGTGTTTACACATTTTGAAGAGTCATGAAAATAAAAAAAAAAAGTGCAGTTTATTAAGACAGTTAAAGAATACCCTGTCTCTTTAAATCTTCATATGTCTTCTTGTTATACACATTGCCTTCATTATCTTCAAACTCTTCTATTGTTTCAGCTCTTGCTTCTTCAGTTATACCTTCTCTCTTTTGTTTCTCGTATACTATGATTGATATTAATACCAGTTGTTTTTGATATCAATATTACTTACAAGCATAAGCATCGGCAATCTTTGTGATTTCATGAAATTGACGTGTGTTTGGGATACCCAAACATCTCATACCATGAGCGTGTCTCCACTCTTGAAAGTGCTTATCAAATGCCTTTCTACCCATATACACATAATTGCCACAAATTTCACATGGATATTCTACGCCAAGACCATGTAGTTTGTAAAGCCAGTAGGGAATAGGCTTACCATCCCAACCAAGAGGTAATTTAAGTGGATTATATATTCTTTCATTATCTTCATCATCTGAATCTTCTTCAATCAATTCAATCTGCTCTTGTTCTTGTTCTAACGCACGTTCTCTATCAGTCAATGCCTGTTTTCGTTCAACATTGGCTTTTGTTTCTTCTCTAAAGTTGTTCAATTCTTCTGCATATTTCTTTATCAAAAATTCTTTCAATGCAGTAGTCTTTCGTTTATCACCATTCATAGGATGATGACCGTTTCCATTTGGTTTCTGTGTCGATTGATCTTCCTCCAGTTTCTTTTGAGCCTTGATATGCTTCTTTCCCGTAAGATGAGCGTCATATACACTAGATTTTGTGAATTGTTTTTGACAAGCAGCACAAAACAAGCTTTGATCTGTATTGGCAATCACATCCTTCCAGCCTTCTAATTCGTGTGCTTCCCATTTCTTTTCGAATTCTTCTTTGGCTGTGTTATCCAACTTGTTCAAATCATACAATGGTCTTGCACGACGGAAGAATCCACGTAAATAGTCGTAAATTTGGTTGAGGTATTGCTTATATTCTTCGTTCGACTTGATTGACTTGGGATAAATTGTAGCAAAATCGTCAAATTCATCAAGGTATTGCAGATAATCTAATTTTTTGACGCCTTTCAAATTGATGTACAATATATGAAGTGTATTCAAATCAAGGTATCGACCAAGGTTTTCTTCACCAGAGAATAATTTTTCCAATTCTAAACAGAATGATTAGGAGATATTGTCTACATTTTTTCTATTTTCTTTACCTTCATAGTCTTCTTCTTCCTTTTCTTGGTTTGATTGAATAAAGTCAGTCTCCAAAGGTTCAGCAGGTTCATTAGGAAATTTGCGATGATGATCTTTGATATCCTTGAGACGTTCATAAAACTCACTGAATTCGTTGGGTCCAGAAAGTGCTCGCATTTCTTCAAGACGTTGACTATAGAAAAAAAAAAAGATCAATCTTTGTCGTAAAAAAAAGATTCATGTAAATAATTACCCATCTTTATCTTGATACAATTCAAGCAAGTATTGGCTTTTTTCAGCAATACGAGTCAAGTATTTATCTACTAAATGTTCGTTATAAAGTCGTTCGCGATGTGTTTTTGCATCTTCCATGTACGTATCAACAATGGCCTGTTCAAGACGTTCAATCTCTTCATGAGCACTTTTTAAAGAAGGTGTTAATTGTTCTCTTTTAGTTTTAAAAACATCAATATTATATCTTACCTTCTTTGCTTTTCGAGAATGTTTTCCATTGTATGATATTTTTGTGTGTAGTAGGGAGGGCAAAAATACAACTGAAGAAAGGAAAAAAGAAATGGAACTCAGCCACTTCTCTTCCTCTGTCATTTTCTCTCTCTAAACTTTGGCCAATAAAATTTGAGCAATCAGAACCTTTTTGCGTGGTGTAAACTCGGCTGTTTGCTAAGCAAGGATCAGATCTGGCCATGTCCACTTTCTAAACAAGCTATGTGCACAGTGTGGCCATGAGAAGGTGACTAAAGCTAGAACGAGAGGTTTATGTAGAAAATATACTCCCACAGTAAATAGAAAAGTTGTTTGATTTGGTGACTGAGGAAGGACAAAGAGTAAAAGAAACAGCATGAATCATAGGTGTAAATGCTCGAACAACTCAACAGTATACCTGAGAATATAATCATAATGAAGAAAGGCGATTGCCTATAGCTGAAAGTGTCGTAGAGCAACGTCTTCTTATAACTGACAACTGTAATCAGTATAAATAGAGCGAGTTCATATAAGACAATGTGTACACACTTTCAATGATAAGTCAGATTAAATAGAACATAAAAGATAATCCTTCTCAAGATAAAAACAGCATCATAACCCAAATCATGGAAAGGACAATAAGATCAGTGTCAGAAACAAATCAAAAGCTGTTGGTCAAATAAATCTTCAGTACGCTTTTGTACGAAATATAGAGATAGAATATCACGGCTGAAGCACCGCAAAGGTGTGCTTCTAGTCGTGACTTGCATAAAACTAACCTTCACCATAGAACAGTGTAACCTCCTTGCACCTTTTTTTTCTCTTACTAACAATAATCATGGATAACTTTGGTCATCTGCAAGGTACATAAAATAAAATAAAAAGTGTTTTACTTTTAATTTCTTAAAATTAAAGAAAAAAGAAAAAAAATAGATGCTCTTTTTGATTTAAACATTAATGTGCCTGATGAAGAAGAAGAACGACAGCTGTTACCTCAGTGGAAGGACATTACAGAGTTCTTGGATGAGGCGACCAGTGGTAAGACCTCTTCTTTTTACAAATGATATTATTACTTGGAACTGATAACTATGTGTGTGTATGCTTACAGAATTTAAGGATGGACAATTGGTTCATTTAAAGTCATTCACCTTGTTTGAAGCGATGAGTGCAATTGAAATCATGGATCCACGAATGGATACAGGTGTCATTGTGAGTGAACAAGAACCATTTGACATTTCGAGAAGAATGTCAGCTGAAGAAACGTTGGACGTGATGGATAATCTTGTTACAAGAGAAATAGCCTGGTTAGCTGGTCATTCACTCTCTCAGACTGTCTATACATGTATTTACTTTCACCATATGAAGTCCCTCAATGAATTATCATCTAGTGTTGTTACATCAATGAGTATAGAGGATATAGCCTATAGTGCTCTGAGGATATATGTATTGGCTACTATAAAATGCTGTAATTATATCTGGACAGAGATGACACAAGGAAATGTCTATGAAGTAAGATTATTATTATAGAGAAAGAAGAGAGAGAATTTAAGCATATACACTGTACCTTAGGAAGAAGACTTTACAACCAATCTGTTCGGTTTATCGTTCAATGGCCAACTTCCTGATGTTTGTATCCTGAATGATCTTGATACATCCATCATGAACCTTACCCGAATCACTGAACAACAAGACAAGAGTAAGGAAGATATGAGATATGGATGTATTTAGGCTAAGTTCCTCTCATTAGACACTGCTGCGATACAAGCTCTTTTGAATAGGATCAAGATTCGTAAATCATATCTTTTATCACTCATCTACTTATCGCAGAATGAAGCGCCTCATTTGGCAAGAGCAAAGACGGAACTATCTGAGCTTGCAAAGTTATTAAATGCTGTTGATTTGTCACCTGCACGCGAAGTAAAAGGCGCGTTTGATCCAAACATCAGTCGAAAGCTCACCTCTCAGACACCTCCTCGGCCTGTGGAGCTAGAATCAAAAGAGAAGTCATACGCATCATTTTCACAGCTTATTCAACGTCTCTGGTCTATTTGTGATGTAACTGATTACCCTTCTGTTACTTCCCTAATGGTTTGTTTATAATATAAAAAAGAAAAAAAAAAACTAGTATATTCATCTCTTTTATAGAACTTTTTTGATGCCTTTGGATCAAAAACGCCCTACGCAGATGCTTTTTCAAGATCCAAGCTGAATGTAAGATGAGCATGATGCATGGCGATGCTCATATTAATATTCAATAGACAATACTCTTTCATAATCAACGTGTGTTTGGCACTCAAAGTATCTCTTATTTGATCCTCAAATCTGTAGAAGAGACAGTACAACCACCTCCGTATTGGTTAACATCCAACTGCAAGTTACCGATTGGAATGAACTCAGACAAGTTGGTACAAGCCCATCAAGTCTTGAAAACTTTTTTGGATAGAATATCAATGGTAACATAAACACACACACTAGGGTTTGGGCAACATCTGTTTACGTCATATAAGGTATTTTTAGAATTATTTAGAATCAATTGCCATAATAGATCTCGGCAAAGAAGACTGCTCTGTAAAATGGTCGGTGAGTGGCAGGTATTAGAAGAAGAAGCAGCGAATATAGATGAGACGTTTCAAGACTTGGTAGTCTCCGAAGATACTGATTTACCTTACTACTTCTCTTCGTGGGCGTACCATATCAAAATGACAATGATTGAAAAGATTTTATTTCTGGGGTTTGAGTTGGAGCTCTATGGGAAACATGAGTATACGATGATTTTGTGGTATACTCGCATCTTGTTGGACAGCCGTAATTTCCTACTCGAGAGAATTGACCGATTTACTGTTGAACGATCTAATTTTATTCGGGCTCAACTTTATATGAATCATGCCACCAGCCTAATGACAGAGGCGTTACTAAGAATAGCAGCATCCATCGAGTGTACCGGACAGTGGAACCAACGTAAGCCAGTCTTTGACGATGGCTTCACGAGATACTTGCAACGATTCAAGCCATTTCTGAACTTGGCTTCACCTCCTGTGCCGCAATACGAGTCTTACCTTGCAACAGTTGAACTGCATGATTTTGATTTGGGTACTATGAAAGCAGCTGTCAAGGATAACTTGACGCAGGCTAGGAAATTGTTGGATGAGGTTTTAAAAATACCCGATAATGAGCTTCATGTTGAAATGTGCTCAGATTATGCTAGAGAGGTAAGTCATTCGAGTGATATGAATAGTAATAACCAACTTTTTATTAGAATATCAAAAATATGGCGCGTTCTTGTGTTGCTAATAATATCGGACTGAATTATATGAAACACAAGGGAGATGAACTGTCACTAGTATCCAAATATCATCCTTGGTTCCCTGTGATCACTAAATAGAATGTAGATAAATCATTAGGACATCAAAGTAATAATAAATTATATACTTGATTTCCAATGTTTAAATATGTTTATATATATATATATATAATTACAAAAAAAAGAGGGTATAAACTATGTATGTTGTATATATGTTTCATGATGATTTTAAGTGGAAGCACAAGATGCAATTTGTTGAGAGTCAGAAGAGATAAAAGGTGTAAAAGATAGGTTGTTGTTGACTGCCTTTTGATGATTCCATTCAATGACAAATCGCTCTAAATTCAATGCTGCAACTTCACCACCATTATGGGCTATTCTCAGTTGAAGGTCATCACATGTTCCGGACATCGTCGAAGCTTTTGTGATAGCATCTGCCCAATTTCCACTTTCAAAATCTTGACGAGATAGTTCGACTGCACTTCCTTGGTCCTTCATGAGCTTCAAGAGACCATGTTCTTCTATAAATTGAGGCCTTGACACATAGACAAAAGGAACACGATGGCCAATACATTCGGAGCAAGTGCCATAACCAAGTTTACCCAGCAAGACATCACAGGCATTCGTCAAGTCGGGTACATAGGCATCTTTAGCAGCCCGATAGAAACCAGGCGGCATTTCAATTGAATCAGGGGCAGCACAGACAATACAAATCCATCCTGGTGGCAGGGGATTATTTCCCCACTTTCCATTGGCTAATAGCTGTCCGCCAAAGGACAATAAGAGGATTTTGTGTGTCTGGTAAATTTCCTTTGGGATTCCAACTTGTTCCAAGACTTGTTCACGTGGTGTCTGGTATTTGCGAAACACCAATGGAACATCGATAATACGACGGACAAAGCCAGGAAGAGGATGCTGACGCTGAACGTTAGAGACACTGGTGCAAGGTAAATGTACTTTACCATTCGCAACACCTTTTCTATGTGCGTCGGCAAAGGTGGTTGCACCAAATGGTGTATGTGGCACAAGGGATGCAGCATTATCAAACGAAGGTATACGGATGGCACCAGGCAAACGAATGAGTAGATCGGCGTGCCTGTAATCATCTATGGTTTGCTGTACCATACATTTAATTTCTTCATCTAATCCATCTCCTTCGCATAATCCCATAAAGACCTCATCGAATGTGAAATTGCTAGAAATGGCAGCAGGGATTCCTACTTTGGCAGCAGCAGCACTAAAATAATAATGATAAGCACCTTACATGTAATGTTTATGTATAATCTTACCAAGGTAAAAAGGGTGCATCACAAATGACACAATCAGCCTTTACTTGTTTTAACCATTCTGCTTCTTGATCTAGTATGGATGGACGTCTGGATAAAAATGATTTCAAATTGGAAATAGTCTGATGTCTGTCAACTGTATAAGGTAATGGCTGAACCACCCCAGGGTCTATATCTGCTTGTCTATAAATAGCACCTTCCTTGATAACTCCTTGAAAGATAAAATCAGACGCTGGTGAGATAACATAAACCTTATGATGTGCAGGTAATTTAAGTATGTCCAATATGACTTGAATAGCTCTGGTAGCATGTCCCCATCCTAATTGTATGTTATTAAAGACATTATTATACTTATTCTTATTATTACCATGACCAGATACATAAAAGCAAAATATAAAGGACTTGTTGGTATATAAAGAAGTATTAATGGTTAATCGAGTCATTCAAGAGAAAAATAAAGATAAAGAAAGAAAAAGAAAAAACAAAAAAAAAACAAAGCTAATTAAAATCTCCCTATTTTTATATTGTTTTAAATTAAAGTCGATCTAATCGGAATCATAAAAATAGTTCCCCCAGAAACAGAAGAGACTGTTTCTTTTTTTTTTTTTTTTTGACAACTAAAACCCTCTATTAGATGTTCTTAATTCAAACAAGACAAGCATTCATAAGAAAACCTTGTATACGTTGGCTTAGTTCTTTAAACACACAGTTTCAGATAAAGCCTAAATTGGACTATGCTTACATATCATCAAACAAGGCAGTCTTTGAACAAAATATGCTTAATAGAAAATACAATAAAATAGACATGGACCAATTTGCAGTTTTATATCAAAAGAGACTCGACATCTATAACCAGCTAAAAGAGTTGAATGCAGAACGTAATAAACTATCTATGGCTGTCAAAACGGCTAAAGGTCAAGAAAAGCAAGATTTGATCGAAAGAGGGAAAAGGATAAAAATAAAGGCAAAAGCATACGAAGATGACCTAAAGGAAATAGAGACTGAGCTGTTAACCAAAGGGCTCATGATCCCTAATACAACACACCCTGATGTTCCTATTGGACCAGAAGAAAACGCTCGAGTGCTCAAGACAGTAGGCACACCACGCACAGGAAACAATTTAAAAGACCATCTACAGATCACCGCAGACCTCAACCTGCTCGACCTTGAACAAGCAGCTGTCACAAGTGGATCAAGTTTTTACTACCTTCAAGGCATGGGCGCCTTCCTAGAACTCGCGTTAATTAACTATGCGATGCATAAAGCAGTGTCCAAAGGCTTCTTTGGCGTATTGACACCTGATATCGTACGAACTAGTGTCGCTTACGGTTGCGGATTTCAACCTCGATCGGATGAAAATTCTCAAATCTATCATATACAATCTAATAATGGATCTCAACTCTGTCTGGCTGGAACAGCAGAAATACCCTTGGCAGGAAAATTTGCAGAAAAGACCTTTAAAGAGGCTCAGTTACCCCAAAAGTTAGTCGGCTTTGGTCATGCTTTCCGTACAGAAGACGGTGGAAGAGGAGTGGAACCCAAAGGTCTCTATCGAGTACATCAATTTTCTAAAGTGGAGTTCTTTGCGGTGACAACAGCTGAGCAAAGTGAAGAAATGATGGAGGAAATTCGATCTATACAGGAAGACATCTTTAGTGAACTAGGACTTTGCTTTAGAGTTTTAGATATGCCCACAGAAGAATTGGGAGCAAGTGCATATCGTAAATACGATATTGAAGCTTGGATGCCAGGAAGAAACAGCTGGGGAGAGGTATGAAAGCATAAAGAGTGTACGTTTGATTAACAGACTGTTTAGATTTCTTCTACCTCAAACTGTACAGATTATCAATCACGAAGACTAGGCATTCGATACAGAAAAGCACATAATGAGAACCAACAATTGTTTTGTCATACACTCAATGGGACCGCCATGGCTGTTCCGAGAGTCATTATTGCTATATTGGAAACATTTCAACAAGATGATGGTACTGTTCGCATACCAAGAGTACTGAGAAAGTGGCTACCTGGGGAACCAGAGTACATACGATAACTTTATTATTAAATGCACAACTCTTTCATCGTTTGTGGCTCATTCGTTGATTTCTCTTCTTCTTTTTCTCGTTGTACTCGACGTGCTGCCTTGGCACGCTCTTTCATGAGTTTTGCTTCCTTTTGTCTTCTTTTCGCTTCCTTTTTACGCTCACTCGCTGATATCTTCTTTGGTTTTTCCTTTTCAGTTGTTTCTTTATCTGCTTCCTTGTCTTTTTCTTTTTTTGGCTCTTCCTTGCCTTTCTCTATTTCTTCCTTATCTTTTTCTTTTATGTGTTTTTCTTTTATGTCTTTTTCCTCGCCTTCCTCTTCTCCTTGCTCTGGTAGCGGTAAACGTTCAACATTACCATCGTTATCGATTTCAAGCCTCTCTTTCAAATGAATATCTTTGTCTTCTTCAGTCACTCTTAATTCATAAAATCTATCAATCACTTTGTCCGTATCCCCCTTATACTTCTTTAGCATTCTTCGTATCATATAGGTAGACACATTCGGACAAGCATTTAATATAACTTTTTCCTTTGAGTCAAGCACGTCTTCTTCTTTTCCTTCATCGTCTTGTTCTTTTTGAACACGTTCTTCTTTAATCTCAGGTGGACCCGTAAATGGTCCATCTACATTACGTACCGAGCTATAGTGCTCCCAATCATGATACGCTATATGCAACACTTGCTTTGACTCTTCCTCTTCTTCTTCTTCTTCTCCTTCATCCACCCCCTTTATGACATATCTAATAATACTTAGATGAATAAACCATACTCTATGTGCTGTGGTTATCATTACATTAAGCCAGGTTGATATACTTTGATGTCTACTTTATACAACTTGGCAAAAGCAGCCAACTCCATATTCCCCCCAAACGTGCCGTCTTGTTGCATATTATTCAAATGACTATCAAAAGATTGATCATCCTCGACAAAAAACTTGTAGATCTCTTCATTCTCTTTCAGGTACCGGCATATTTCCTGTCTAATCACTTTATGTTTGGAATCTCTTCCATAATATTGATCTGATAATGCTCTTTTGTATTTAGCTATATTGGACTTGCTATCATTCATTGTTTAATTAAGTGCGTACCTAAACAGACAATTGCCGTCACCTGTAATGTCCTTTGTGCATAGATTCAGTTTTTTGAGTTGACTATTTAGATCTTCAGTATTATTTTCTGAATCAAGTGCTTTCTAAAAGAGAAAGAATATATATGAGTCATGTAGGGTAGATGTATGTCTTTTAATTACATGTATCCTCTTGTTATGACTTCTTGTTGCTTTCTTATGTTCTTTTTTTGTCGTCTTTTTGGCCATGATGATAAAAGAAAGTAGGTTGTGACTTGTTAAATGTGCATTGTATTCAATATCTGCCACTCACATCTTTTTTTCTATAGAAAATATATATAAATATATATAGAAATATGCAATGGCGTCCTCTAATATTACTATTCAGTGGAATTGCCACTATTTATCTCATTAGTTTACTTCAGGACATGCCACATCCACGTCCCAAAATACTTTACACACCAAAACATCCATTTAGTACAATACAGCGGAAAGCAGAGAAAAGCATCTTGACAACAGTAGACGATTATGCTTATATCACCCTGGTCATACCCGAGGCTTCAAAGTTTGCAGTTGGCACCGAAAAACTAAAACTAGGTGTCAAAGGTAATTGTTCATACAGAACACACATTAGAAAAGCTAATCACACGCGCACACACACACACACATATGGAAACATAGGCTCTATTAGACAGTTCAGAAAGCCATTATCGGTACTCGTGACCAATATGACAGGAGATCAGAACTGGAGTCCTAGCCTTAGACATGATTTACCTGGACAGATATCAAGCGTGACTGAGCGAGGACAAGACTTTCTTATTCTATACCACGTCGTTCAGGATGACTTTGTGTCACATTATGCGAGATTGTATTACCCGTCAAACGATACAGGTCAATATGAGTACAAAGACATTATGTTGCCTGGGTCAACTTGGATCAATTCAGTAACGCTACATGAAGATTCTATTCTCTTTTCAAGGTAATAATAACCTGTTGCTATAAAAGCAAGCACTGTGATAACACGATTCCAAAAAAGGGATCCTGATCAGTACCACTTTCACTTGATTGCACTTCCACCCAACATAAAGCAAGCACCTCACTCTATAGAAATCGTACTAAGATCAAGCGAACTAGGAAAGCCGCTTGGTAAGAAAGCATTCTCTCTTGTCTATTTCCGTATCGCTTATGATTGCCAATGTTTTAGATTACGCCTATCCAGAAGCATTAGAACAGTATCCCTCGCTTTTATCCAGGCTGTATTCAGCTCAAAAAGATACATATCGCGTAATGTCTATCAATACCATAAAGAATGAAGCCAAGTTCCAGCAGACGATCTCAATTATTGATAATACAACACTGAGTGAACGTGTAGGTTGGAAGGTGTGGGCTAACAGGACAGAAGAGGTAAGATGAAAAGAGTTTTGGAAAAAAAGATAATAACCACTACAATCAGCATCCCATCTATTATGATGAATCTGTAGATGACATTGGCTTTGCACATATCACCTATAAGGATAGAGCAAACAATAAATCACCCAAGATTTGCTTTGGTAAGGACTATACGTATTCTCCCCCTTTTTTTGAATTTGTTAATGACTGATGCTGCTTAGCCTTATCATCCGATACAAAAACCATTGTCCTTTCTACTGTTGACAATAAATTCTTTAGCTATGATTATACAGATAGGATCGACATTATACAGAATATGCCAATAGAAAGAGATCGACTATACAAACTCGAGAATGGAACATTTATACCAGAATACTATTATCGACAAGGCTATGACATGGAAAAAGATATTGAGATAGCTGGCATTAAACTAAATCAAGATGCAACAATGATGGCAATATGGACAAAAGAAAAGAACATCTACATCTATAAAAGACAAGTCGAATATGTAACTAATAACAGTAATAAGACAGCAGTTGAAGAATGGATTGACTTGCTATTTCCAAATGAAGATGAACGCTATATATATCGTGAATACCTTCCTCCTCCATGGGAAATAACCATGGAGATCACGTTGGTAAGGAAAATAAGAATTTAAGAAACGAAATATTCGATGCTCATCTATAAAAAATAGCCTACAGAAAAAGATATTAAAGACGTCAAATTCTATGATAGATATTTTTGTAGGTCAATTCGATATTATATATAAAAATTATTCATACCCTCCATTCAATATAGTTGTCGTTCTGGATCAAGGTCGTATCTTTTCTTACATCATGGATGATATTGAAGAACAAGAGCCAGTGAACTTTATAACCTTTATCAAAAGTAAATGGGATATGCTTATTGGTAAGTACTATATAAATATAGACTGTAGTATAAACTAATAGGATGATAGCCATGTGTACTATTATCGTCATCTTTGTTTATAATGAATACAAGCACCCCACTGCATAATAAATTGTGATTTATTTAAAGATTTGCTCATCTACAAACTTTTTCACTTTAGATCCAATATCGAGTTTAACAAGCGAATGAGTTGCGTTAATAACTTGGTTGTTCCAACTGTCCTTCACTATATAAAAACAATTAGTTTCAACTTGCTTAAATTAATGTCTTTCTCTTTAGTTACCTGAAGGAATCAACCTGTCAGAGACGTATTTTTGTGAGTTAGATACATAATTTTTGGCAACTGAAGGAGCTACTGCTCTATTAAGCGTAGATTTCACATTATCTAAACGCTGTTGAATATCATTTTGATCTTTTGAAACCGTATCTCGGACCTTGACTGTGACTAGAGTGGCTAATGCGATACCTGCGACTAAAGGAATAAATCGTGGCATGACTGAAGAATAATCTCTCTAAGGAAACACTGCATTCAGCAGAAGCATCTGGGGTGCGCGCATTTTACCAGACTAATGTTACGCGCACGCCCTAAACACCGAAGTTTGATGACGTAAAAAACAATTGATTGCCTTTTTCAACTGACTACTGACTTTGGACAGTCCTTAGTAACTGCTACATGAATACCTCGATTTATACATTTAGAAACATGTTAAACTTTTACCGATAACATTGGCCATAATTTGCTCCCATTGCTCCTTCCTTAGAAATTATGCCATGTGAAATCTATGGAAAATAATGTGACTTTATGATACAGTTACATTCTATTACTTATTTACTCATGTATGTTTATTTCTCTTTTCTTTTCCTTGGTTAATTTTTAACTTCTAAAGAGATACCTAAGGATTAGAAAAAGTAAGGTTTCTTATTATAAATATCAATACATTTTATTAACCATATATCATAAATAAAGCTGTCAGCTCTTAACATAATTGACCCAAATTTCGAATATTAGTTAAAGTCACATTATATCACATGAAAGGCACTATTATTGTATACTGAGAGGGTAAATGAACTATGAGTCCCAAATTGAGACACAGCAATAGCATTAGTAAAGAAGAAATTGACATATTCTCGGATACAAACCAGGACGGATTGTGGAGAGTGAAAAAAACAAGTAAATAAAAAATTAACTTATTGATCTATGTTCTTTAATAAAACTTACCCAAAAGGTATTACAGCCGACGGCTATAGGCCTATCTACGTTTCTTTTTCAGAAAGTAGCGGCAAGGCGTTCAAATTCTGTAGTTTTGGAGAGACTGCGTTTTGAATCAAACTGAGGGAGTGTAGCCCCGAAAAGAAGAGTTGCGAGGCCAGATAAGCTTATGGTCATAACACTTAAACTGTCACGAGCATGGGTGGCCTTATCTGCAAGAACAGAAGGGCACACCGGATTAATACATTGAAATGTGCCGTTCACAACGTTCAGCTTGACATTTCTTGTAGCTCGCAAAGGATGCTGGAGCTTCTTGAAGCAAAAAAGGCAAGTTTGCGAGGTGTTATGTTCGTTAGTAATACATACAAAAGAGTACAAATTATTCTTTCTTGGTTTCCATTGACGCCCATATTTCAAATGCCCTTTGATTGTGGAAGGATATCCTGAACATTTACACCATATTGCTCTTCTAATACAATGGTGTTGTTGCCTTCGTTGATGAATGCTGCATTCTTTAAAAGCAACACAAGCTTATACAGATGGATGCCATAAGCAATAATATTATCACTCACCGAAACCATGGCTTGATCTATAGTGTCTAGGAAGGCACCTCTGATATCCACGGATAAATCTGATCGTAAAAGAGGAAGCAAAGACGTACTGAAGGATCTTATAGGCATTTCCTCTGAGGCGCTAACACTGAGCCCATACTGTTCTGTAGCCTCTTTTTCGTTATCAATTTCCTTTTTAACTCTATAGGTAATTTTATCGAACTACTCTTCTACATAATCTTTCCACATTTGTATTGGTGCTTTCTCTTTTCTTTTTCTTTTTTTTTTTTTTTTTCCCAGAAAATTCTCTATCTCTGTTGCCTTTAGTTGTAGTCTGAATACAACATTGGTAACGATTCCTCTAGGCAATCGGGATCGTGACAACATATTTTGGCGAAGCTCATTCAAGCTTCGGTTTGCTCTATAGTGCTCGCGAATGTCCTCAGAAACCCATATTTCCAACTGTTCCAATAAGTCATTCATGAGGAATTTATCTCTGTCTTTTGCTGCAAATGAGTGCTTTGATGATGTCCCTGTCTCTTCTACACTTTCACTTCTTAATCCTTTTGTAGTTCTTGTCTCCCAAGAAGCAGGTGGATTTACTACAATTGATTTAGGAACATAGTTACTTCTTTGACGCTTTTTTGCATGCATTATAAAAACTTTATATATTGTAGACTATGTGTTTTCCAATAAACATAAGAGAGAAAAAGAAAGGAGCTTTATATGTGTCATTATTCATTGATAATCTCATTATGAATATTCAATCTTAGACAGCACAATGAAATGATCTTTCTTATATATTCAGCCTACAATAGCCAAAATAAGATAATTATGAACTTTAACTATTTACCTTAGAAGAGTAAGTAATTACTTGATACATTTACATTATTGAAAGCTAAATAGAATAAAGATATTTGTTGTAAAAAACCAAATTTAATTTCAATACCTACAAGGTGGAATGTGCTGCTATATCAGACGACAGTTACACCAGTCTGTACCTTCCTTTTCTCTGCTTCTTCTTTCTTTGCAGGTTCACAAACTAAGAAATATGCAGAAAACTAGAAAGAGTGTAATATATTTTTTTATTGTCAATTAACTAACAATTAAATAAAGCTGCTGTCAATAAACATCCTTCAAAATTCAACTGAGTCTATATTCTGACAAGGAGGCTCATAAGATGGCAGGGACAGAGTTGAGTCTGAAGGCTCATATACTGTGAATGGCTGCTGGAGAGTTCCATTCAATAGGGAAGCGTGAGATAATTTGTAAGTATAAAGACGATGAAATTTTGTTCGAGGAAAACACTACATACACCAGAAGTTAGACCAATTCAACGGGCGCTATATCTACCCATTACCTATGATGCCTTCCAACAAAACCCTTGAGTGCGTGGCGTCGCGCTAAGCATGGCTTTATGAAGCTACCAACTTGTTTTGTTTCTTTTCAAGAAGAAGAGATAAAAAGAAACGTTGTTATTAATTATTTATTCTAATTTTATGTTGTCAGTTCGATCAAAAAAGATCACTAATGATAACTTCATACTTACATTATTTAGCTTATTTTCTGGTGTATTTTCTGATGCATGTAGTGCTCGCTTTGTTCAAAGCTGCTGAAGTTGGTAAAGTCGAAGGTGGGGATCAATGGATTCAGAATTTGGATCGCTTGCAAGTTTCAAAGCACCATTCCAAGATTCATCGTCAACAAAAAATTTGCAAGTGCGTAATGAATGACCATCCAAGATGAATGACGTGTTTGATGAGATAATCATTATAATAACTCGAGCATAATCTTACAGTAGAGCATACATTCTACTTTACATTTCTCTATCACATCTACTGAGAATGAATAAGAGTACTGACAACATTCAAAAATAATCAATATGCTTCATAACTTTAAAAACTGAATTATTTTCCGGACCGAACAATTTCTTAGCCTTACGATAATATAAAAGTAACTGTTTTTCCTTTTTATTTTTTTCTTGACTTGATTTTGACATGACAGAACAAAAGAGTGAAGGGATCTATACTTATTGCATCGAATACGCCAAGACAACACAATCCCGATGTGCAGCATGTAAAAAGGGCATTTCTGTTAAATCTCTTCGTGCGGCCGAGATCTTTAGAAAAAGTCCTAAAGAAAAAAAGAATCTTGCTAGACATACCTGGTATCACTTCAAGTGCTTTAAAGGTACCTATTAAATATATATAAAGACAAATATAACTCATTGGATTTACATAGTACCTACATTGCTCACACAGATACCTATTGAACAATTTAGAGGATATCCTACTCTGAAGGAAAAGGACAAGGCTCGTGTACAAAAACTCATCAAACATGGTAAAGGTGCAACTTGGGCAGCTATTGTAGAAAAAGAAAAGGCAGAAGAAGGAGAAGAAGAAGCTGTGACCAAGAAAAAAGAAACGATCGATGAAAATATAGATATAACAGAAAAGTTAACGGGCATACAAGAAAAGACTGAAAAGAACAAGATAGAAGAGAAAAAGACTGAAAAGAAAAAGGTGGAAAAGAAAAATGATAAAAAGCTGAAAGCAAAGACAGAAGAAAAGAATAAAGTAAACAAGAAAAAGAAACCTGCTACAACGGAAGTAGCACATAAACCAAAGAAGGTGGTACTTCCTACAGAGGATCAAATCGAATTAGAGACTATCGCAAAGGAATTCCAAGCACTGAAAAAATAAAAAATAAAGATGTATTTACACGTTTATTAAAGGCTTCTTATTTACGACGAACAATTTCCCAACCATCTTCATCCACTGTGGGCTGTTCTGGGGCTGCCTCCTCCATCTCTTGATCTCCCTCAGCATCTTGTTCATCCTATATTTAGGTCAATACACGAAAACATGTTTGGCAATACTATACTGTACATCATTTTCATCGCCATCCACCTCATCATCGCTTTCTTGTTTTACACAGTTGGAAGCAGCAGACTGATTTTGTGACATATATCGTTCACGAAGACGTTGTAATTCTTCAAAATTTCCCTGGATACATTGATTATACAACTCAAATAAGTGCTTTGCAACATAATACGCTGAATCATCCTCAAGGAGAACTTGGAATTCATCACTCATAATTTGAGCCAATATTTCCTCAATTTCTTCTACGTCTACTTTCTTTCCACCTAAAGGCACATGTTATTATCGCCGCTAAAAGTATACACTACGTTTTACGTTTGCCAAAGACATCGACAATGACATCGATCATCCAATCTCTTTTCTCGGCTGATTCAATTCCTCCCCATTCTTGTTCAACTGCCAACTTGAGTGCAGTCCACGACTTTAATACATAGCCTACGCCTTCCTCAAAGGCTACTTTATTAGGGTGTTCTGACATAATTTTGAAGAAAAAAAAACAAGCCAAATGCACAAAAACCCTTTTCATAATTGCTACTGTTTTTGTGACTGCTCTTTCTGAAAGATCCTGTCTACACAGGAAATTAGTAACCAAGATGTAAACTAACAATAATTTTGTAGAAAACCGTAGCAGCATACAAAAAATCATCATAAGCTTGTTTTTTATGGAAACAATTTCAATGCTTTCGGGAGAGAACAATTGTTGAATATGCGAGGCTTTGAAGTTGTTTAACTGTCGTAATGCTTACAAAATAAGAAGCAAATAAAGTGCATATCTTTATTAAAGTCTATATTTGTTGGTTTAAAGTGTTTTGATCCAAAGCGAGCTTTTATTATAACTCTTTTATTTCAGAGGCTTAGAGTCTATTCTTTCGTTTACAAAGTAATATAGGTTATAGCAAATGTGAACATCATCAGAGCCTTTTCACGTTGGATTCACAGTGCTCTTGGCAGAAGAGATGTATGTTGGCTACTCTCTACTTATGCCTTTAACCATTAATTAGCAACCAATATTGGTTGAGCATGATATTATTAGGAAAATGAGAATATAAAAAAATAGCTATGGTTTGGACCAGTTGAAAA